AATCTCTATCCCAGATAGAGATTCTCTATCCCAGATGGAGAATCTCTATTTGGGATGGAGAGTCTCTATTTCGGCTTCGCCACTGGTGGAGGAGCTGCTGAAATATAGTAAAAAACATGTGGGAAAACAGTAAGAAACAGAAAAAGAAGAAAAAAGAAAGAAAAAGAAAGAAAGAAGAAGAAAAAAGCGATACTCTTTTTTATCGAGAATTTCTATTTTCCTCAGAGAGTCTCTATTTCAAATAGAGACTCTCTGAGATTTTCTATTTCGAGAGCCTTTATCCACCCCACTGTCTGAAAATAAACCATCGCAGTCGATCCGCTACCCGTTCTTCGTGACGAACCAGCTAAAACTGCGGAACACCTACTTTCTCAAATGGTGCCGGTATTCCTTCTATCAAATGCAAAAGTGTCTGGGTATGAGAGAATGCGCGATTTGCCATGCAGCTTTTCCATGACCCATGAAGCCTGGAATGCAGGACCTAGCATGACAGATTCTGTGTGATCTCTCTCATGCCTATCCTGCATGAGAAACTCCCTCCCGACTTGGTCAAAACTGGGCGACTTTTGGTAATCATGCAACACAGATTTTTGCATGCTTCAGATTTAGCATACAAGTTGCATCCTTCCAGACCCGGACATTTTTAAATTTGATACCTTCTTCATCATTCTCTACCCCCTCGGGGTCACCGGCGAGTTGGGCACGCTCTTCACTTACTGGAACGACTTAGTCACCGACCCCGCACCCAGCAACGTGATCCTCCAAATGTTCAAATCGCTCTCTAGCTTCGACTCGATCGGGACAATAATCGGACTGCCCGTGATTCCGATGCTTTTGGTCTACGCAATGTACGCACCGGGGTTGTCTTTTCTCTACGGCCACATGCTCAGCCAGCGGGGCAAGGCGCTGAGCAGCGGTGTTGATGCGGCCGCGGGGAAGGAAAAGAAGAAGTTGTAGAACCGAGAATTAGGTCTGGCTTCTAGTTCTACAAATTCTTCATTTTCGATGGAAAGCTCACTCATCCGAGATGAACCACCTTTTTTCTTGCCTCCTGAGCTCACGATGGAATAAGTACTTCTCTATTTCCCACGCCCATATATCATTTTTTTCTGCGGGCATGATATTAAGTACACATGATCATAGCTGTATCATATTTGAAACTTTCTCAATGACACGACTCTGAGCTCCAGACTCCTGGCATCAATTGCACGACCACAATGAGCAAACGACCACAATAGTGCCTCTTTTTTTGCCGAAGTGCGTTAATTTCTGACGCTTTCGATTGTACCTTTCACATAGATATGATATCGCAACGGATATAGCATCACAAAGAATGAAACGCAGAGGACACAACCCTTCATCCTTTTTTGTCAACAAAAATCATCGCGCAAGAAAATATCGAGTGGGCGCGTGTGTGTCTTAGCTCATTATTATCGACAAAACAAACGTGGACCCACACTACCGATTCGGAAGAATTTGGATCTTTTCTGTATGGATGTTGGATAATTTTGTGATTTGTTCCGAAGGAAATCCGCCCCATCACAGGTATTCTAGATCTGGGAGAAATAAAAAATAATCGGAATGAAATTCGATTGGATTCGGCGCAGACATTTAAAAAAAAAACTATGTGAAAATTCCATTCAATGAAGAATTCTCATCTTTTTTCAAAGTCCTCCGGCCATACCAAAGGCATACATGGAGTGAAAATCGGCCACGGATCGGGTTTTCCCCCTATGTTCACTAAGATCCACAAATCGGTTTTGCGACCAGCCGCTCGGTAACGGCACTGATTGTGCCTGAAAATGTGGAAAAGCGAATGTCCATTGTAAGGATGGAATGCTGCTGAATTTGCGGAAAGTGCCTCCATTGGTCGGTGTTGTTGTTGCGAAGTGCAATTAAAATTTAAAAATTGCCCCTGATTTCCAGGGAAATGTCTGTTTTCGGAGTACCGGCGCCAATCGGTCAGTTGTCCTGCATCACAGGGACCTCTATAGTCGCTTCCACACAGATCGGTTGAGCTGCCGATATACCTTATGTTCGGTTTGGTTGCCTCGGTATGTCGCTGGTTCTCGATGGGCCCTGACACGGGGGCATCTGTAGATTCGGGATGAGAAGGGACTGCCACATCTCTTAGTCACTAACTTTCAGTCAGGAATAAGGGCCGCCACCTTATCTTTGTTAGACCAGCCCCGAACTAGAAAACCCACCAACCGCCCACTACACTGACTTAAACCACGCCGAATTCTATTGCATTGCGCACCTTCACGTATTTCGACCTACAGAACTATTCCCCCCTGCCCACCTCAGAAAACGATGGATCAAGCATCGGCGCTGCAAATTCTCCTGTCGTTGCTGCCGCGCCTGGTTGCACCGGCGCAGCAGGCCCCGCCACAGCCGCAGACGGGTTTCCAGAATGTGCCGGGAGTATGGCCAAATCCATTCCCGGTCCTCGCGCCGAACTCCTTCCCGCCTGTGTGGGTACCACCGCCGCAGCAACCTGTGCATCGTGAATCACAGACGCCGCGAAAGCGCGATGCCCTGGAAGACTCGCGCGAAGAGACGGCCCTTGACCGACCCCGCCAACATGCCAAACGGAGACGCGTCGATGACGAAGACCGAGAGCGGGACAACGACAGGACACGAAGTGGAAGGGCTGACAGAGAACGACCTACGGGCAGACGTGAGTCTGATACGCGGGGACACTGGAAGGAACCCGGCCGAGGAGAATTGCATCTCTTCCTCGAAACGGTAGGCCAGCACACGCGCACGCGGAATCGAAACGATATGACTCGCGTACTCCTTGCGAAGGCGTATGACAAGTGGCAGCTCCGACACAGAGACGTTAAGAGGATCCTGGGGAAGACCATCAGCAACTTTGTTGATGCCAATGTCGCGCGAAGGAACTTCGGTGAAGAGCGGGATCAGTATGAAGAGCGGCGTGGCCGCCACGAGGAGCGGCGCTCTGGATTACGAAAAAACAGTTACTCCACTAGTAGGAATGCGCACCGGGAACAACGATGGGCGCCGGCACAGCGACGTGCGGAATCTGCGCGAGCCGGGGAGGACAAAGAAGATAGCCGGCGGGGCCGCGCCCGACGCTCAGCGAGCGCTCCCGAGCGCAAGGACGACGAGTACCGCCACCAAGAAGCACCGCAAAAGGACGGGTCTGAACACGGGGCGCAAGCAGAGGCAGAGCAACAGAAGGGGAAGCCCCGCGCGCCATCACCCCGAAGTAACCTGGCGCCGAAAACTTCTGTCCGTGGAGTTTCCCGGGAACAACTTTTGCAGCTCCTGGAGAACGAAAGCCCGTGGCAGGACGCGCAGACCGTGTTGGAAACGATCCACAAGAGGTTGCGAATCAGTGGATTAGACGTGAAGGCCCTGCTTGGAGAGACGACAATCAACTACTTAAGGCGTGCGAGATTGGCCAACCCGCTGGACGCAGAGGAGAAGAGAATCATACGGGAGGAAGTCCACCGACATGTGAAGAAGATCGAGAAGATGCAATCCGCCCTTGACTTCCACGACTTCCTCATCAAAACGCTGAAGATTCCGCCGTCGAAGGTCGACGCCGCCTGCAGCCGCCGCAGCAACTGGATTTACCGCGACATACGCGAAGGTAAGTGGCATGCGGAGGATGGCGGTGGAGTCCTCGAAATCCGGGAGTGCGGGTCGGATGGGTCTTGCTTGTATCACTCCATCTGCTACCAACTCGGACCGAGCACGACCTGGACACCGGACAGCCTTCGGGGAGCAGTAGTGAATCACATGGACAAAAACAGGAGGGAAGAGTACGCGGGCGGCCAATCAATTCAGGACGTTGTGATGGGGGCCGAGCGACCTGACGACGCGGCAAAGACGGCGGACTTCGAGAGCCTCCTGGTCCACTTGCGCAAGCGACGAACTTGGGCGGGGGAAATCGAGACCGCGATAGCATCAAAACTGCTCGGGAAGGATATCCGGGTCTACACGAAGTGGGAGGGCCCGGGCGGACCGTCCCAGGACGAACCGCTGGTGTGCGATGGGTGCGAGACGTTGCCGCTGACTGCGGTCCGCTCCTCGCGCTACGGGAACCATGGAGGAGAAGTAATCGCCCTGTTCTACGCGGGGCACCACTGGCGGGCGGCTAAAACGACTTGACTGCTATCCCGGGGAGAAACAAGTCCCCCCTCGGAAAATAACGACAACATGAGGCGAAGCAACTTACCTACGAAGCAATCCGATTTTGATCCAGAAGTTCACGCAGGCACCCTGAACATAAACGGCCTGCGCTCGAAGGGCCGCCTCCTTGCCGAATATCTCGACAGGCACCAGGTGCGGGTGCTGGCGCTGACCGAGATACGATGTGACGCTATTACCCTGAAGAAGATAGTCAGCAAAAGTTTAACGGACTACGTGTTGGGGGCGTACAGCATTCGGGAAGACGACCCAGATTCAGGCGGGGTGGCGATTATTGTTAGAAAGGACCTCAAAGTTCAATTCTCCCCCCTCCAGCCCGAAGTTCTTGAGAAAGCACGAAAGCGCCCGGGCGGAAAGAGAGTCCCCATGGAACTTGCAGGGATCGCAATGGCAGGACACGATGGAACGCGGCTGGAGTTCATCGCAGCGTACGTCCCTCCGAAGTCCCGCCCTACCCTTGCGCAGCTGAAGTTCCTCAGCCCCCCGGCGACCGATGCGAACCCGCCATCCAGAATTCTAATGGGAGACTTCAACCCGGGCCCCTGGAGGACGACTTACAACCGGTGGACCCGGGAAGGAGGCTGGTGGCCCCTGGTGCACCCAGACGCCCCCACGTACACACAAGGTGGAGCAGCGACGCAGCCGGACAAAATGCTTTTCCTCCCCGGGCATACGATCCCGGACAACCTTCTCGACTACCTCGGCGCCCTCCCCCCCGACCGGCCAACAAAAGACGACGAGGCCACCTTCCCCGGGAATGTCACCTCCGCCGCGGAATTAACAAACCACCACATGCTGACCGTGCCGCTCCGGGATGCCATGTTTGAAGAATTCGCGACCGGGCAGTGGGAAGCGGCGAATGACATGAAGACAGTGGGCGACCGCTACTTCGTGAAGAAACTCACGCGCCACCAATGGAAGCAGGTGGACGAAGAGCTGTGCTGGAGGTTGGCAGACCGGAAAGAAGAATGGAAAGCGGCAACAACAGGGGGGAATGTCGACCGGCAGTGGAATATCCTTCAGAGTGAAGTGCAGCGAGTTCTCCGTTCCTGCCGGGCGCCACTCTCCGGGAAAATCCGGCGACGAGACACGAAAAGAACATTCGAAGAGTACGCAGAGTGGCATCCGCAGTTTCCGGCCTACATGGCGGCGAAGGAATCCGACCCCACCGAGGCGCGCAGACTTCGCCAGCGGATAGATGGGGACGGGTGGAAACGCTTCTTGAACGACCAAGGCGCGCATGGAGGAATAGGGCCCCTCTACCGATACCTCGCTAGGGAAGAAGGGCGACGGGCGCCAAGACAGAAGCCTGCTGACGAGGACATGGAGATTTTGGGGACCACTTGCACAACGGATCGGGAAAAGGCGAACGTTTGGGGCCTGTGGTTCCAGCGCAAATATACCGCGGCGGGGCCGGCAGATGGACAAAACACTCAGCCGCTGCGGCGGAACGACCTCGGGCTGCACACCCCGGACCAAGGGCTTCGCGGCTGGATGGCAAGCGGAGACGCACCAGCCCCAGTCACACCGCGAGAAGTGGCGCGGGCACTCAAGTCGGCCAAGGCGGGGAAATCGCCCGGGGAAGACGGGATTACCATCGAAATCCTGCGCCAGGTGCCGACCCTGTGGCCCCTGCTGGCGCAGCTCTTTACCCAGATGACGAACAGGGCCAAGCTGCCGGCGGAACTCTGCCGCGCCCTGGTCGTCCTCATTCCGAAGCCCGGCAAACCGGCGAAGGAGGCAACAGCTTGGCGACCGATATCACTTCTATCGGTCGTTGCAAAACTCTACGAACGTATTCTATGGTGGCGGTTGGAGCCGTTCCTCCAGTCCGCTGACGGGGAGGAGCGTATGTTCAGCAAGTCGCAATTCGCTTTCCAGCCGTTTCTCAACTGCGAGATGGAGCTAGCACACATGCTGGGATGGGCCACGGAAAGGCTCGCGGCCGGAAAATATTGCGGAATAATTTCCACTGACATACGGGGCGCCTACGACTCCGTGAAACACCTCCAGCTTCTGAAAGCACTGAGGAGCCAAGGAGTGCCGGGCGCTTACGGGCGGGTAT